GTGCTGTCATATCCTGGAAACAACGCAAGGTGGAAAAGACGCTGATCTGTGAAGTTTGGGGAATCTGCGCAATTTGCTGTTCACCATCCTCTCCTCGTGCATCTTCGCCATCAACGCTCGCTCCGTTCCAGAAGACATATCTCCGATAGGAATAAACCTATAGTCCAGTTTTTGGGAGGCTTGTACTTAAGATTGTAAGAAGCATGGATACGATAGCGTGAGAATTTACTCACCCCCTCTTCACCCCTGAACCGAGATCAAGGTAGGCAACCCCCTTTACCAAAAGCCAAGGAAAAAATCAACAGTGACGTTAGGTTAAGCAAAGGAGATATTTGTAAGGGGATTGTTTGTGTATCGGAAAAGAGGAAAGATCTATAGGGATTCACGAATTTTCAGGAGGAAAAAAATAGAAGCTTCTGTAGTTGCACAGCAACGTCAGCGAGGAAAGTTCCGTGGAACAACGTTCCCTCTCGTTTTAGGGAATAAATAGCTTGAGAGTCCGTTTATATAATAGGAGTATTTAATGAAAAATGTGATTAGTGATTTTTGGTATTTTCGAGTTTTTAACATGAAAAATTCATAACTTTTCTATATAAACACATAGTATATGCAGGTGGTCACCATTGAAACCATCTCGCCCTCCGCTTTCAGAAAGTATATACTTTGCCCGTAGTTCTTTGAAAAAGGGCTGGGTGAAGGGTGGGTGAGACTTTTATAATGGGAGTGCTCAAGTGGAGGCTTTTTACCATTGTGAAAAGACATCTACTTGAGCAATCCCATTAAATTAGGTTGTTACATAAGTCTTGACACACTCAACTTCTAACGGCGACAAGTCATACACCTTTTAGTCTTTACAGAACTCCAAGGTATCATTTGATAGAGCAAAGCAAGCTCTACAGAAAGTCTGCAGAAGTTCGCACCAGCTCCGACCCACTATAAGGTTGCATTCAAAATCTGAGTAGTACTGAAGACTCAAATATTGCGAAAAATTAACATCTTTGTTCAGAAAAATCCTTCAAATCTCCAGCTTGCTCACAAAAATTGTCCACTATATCAAACACTCATATGTACCGTTGCTGTATTTTTCTTATCTAAAAATCGAGAAAAGGAAAATTTTTTAGTTTCTACGAAAACGAAGCTATGCTGTTTCTACTCATGTAGCTGTTTACTACCAGCATAGCTTCGTTTTTGTAAAAACTGAAAATTTTTCCTTCTCTCATTTTTTAGATAAGGAAAAAATACAGCAAAGGTACATATAAGTGTTTGATATAGTGGACAATTTTTGTGAGCAGCTGGAGATTCGTAGGATTTTTCTGAACAAAGATATGAATTTTTCACAATTTTTGAGTCTTCAGTACTACTCATATTTTGATTGCAACCTTACAGTGGGTCGGAGCTGGTGCGAATTTCTGCAGACCTTATCGTAGAGCTTGCTTTGCTCTATCGAATGGTACCTTGAAACCCTGCAAAGACTATGAGGTGTATGACTTATCGCAGCTAGCAATTAAAGGCAGCGTCCGGGCAAAATTTTGCCTCCCATGTTTCTGCCATTCTGGGGTCTTTCCGTGGCCGATTACAGTTGCGAAGTCCGAATTGTTCAAAACCCCCAAAAAAACCCGATTCTTGGGGACCCTCTCTTCAAGGAGCGGACGAGTTTTAGATAGCTCGTCCCCATCGCATGCCAGCTTAAGGAGCTGCACTGCACGGATGCAGTTGCATTGCAGTGTGCAGTGCAACTGCAATGCAACTGCGCACCTGCGCGAGCACTCGTCCTGAAGGGTAGTTTGTGATACGAAAGGGCGGTTTGTGATACGTATCACAGGCCCGTATCTCTTTTTAGAGGCCACGTCAAAGAATAGACCAACGCAGATCGGATACTCATGGGCCCCTCTTTGCAAATATGTGCCAATCTGGGTGGATGGATCTTGCCTGGACGCTGCCTGCAAGTGTAACAAGACTTATGTAACGACCTAATAAAAGTCTCACCCACCCTTCACGCGGCACTTTTTATAACGGACCCCAAGCAAAGTATGTGTTTTCTGAAAGCGGAGGACGAGACGGTTTCAATGGTGCCCACTTAGACGCATAAGATTTTCATCTGCAGATGTTATGAATTTTTTAATACTAAAACTCGAAAATCTTCAAAAATCATTAGGCACACCCTTCACCCAGGCACTTTTCTGGACGGATCTCAGACATGCTATATATTTTCTGAAAGCGGAGGAACAGGCGGTTCCAACGGTGGCTATTTCCTTGTACAAGTTGTTCATCTACAGCAGTTACGAATTTTTTATCCTTAGAAATCGTAAATATTGAAATCACTGCTCGCAGCCTTCATCAGGCCCCTTTTTCAAAAACTCCAGGCAAGCTATATATCATCGGAAAGCGGAGAGCAAGGCGGTTCCGATGTTAAGCATATTGGCGTATACGATCTTCATCTACAGAACTTATGGATTTTTTTATTTAAAATTTCGTAAATATGTGGAAATCATTCCCACGAGCTTCACCAGGCACTTTTTTGAAATGACTCCAGACAAATCTCCGGACGCTATATAGTTCCTAAAAGCGAAAGAGAAGATAGTTCTGAAAACAATTTCCTTGCTGGCGTTGCTGTTCATACACAAAAGGTCTAAATTTTTTCTTCCAAAATTTTGTGAATGCTCAAAAATTGCCTACCTCTTTCCGAAACAGATGTTCTTGCATACACATCTTCTACTCTAAGCTATTTTCAAAGACAGAAAGAATGTTTACATTCCTGCTTCATTCTTCACAAAGAAGACAGCATATGATGGCAGAGAATTGAAAATGTTCAAACGTTGCTTAGGAATAATGATGAGAGAACACCAACACTATCCTCCCCCTCCCCCTCCCACCACTCCCTACTCGGTCCATTTTAGGGCCGCATGCACTAACCTCCTCGCTGGGGAGGGGGTCGCAGCTCAAAAGAATGCTTTATAATTCGAAACTCCAGATACCTGGATTTCTCTGTGTACCTATCCGTAAGTATTCCTACTACCCTTCACTATGAACATGTTGAAGAGGAGCGTGAAGCTGCACGAACCGCATTTTCCAGCTTTTGTAGAATCCCTGATGATCCCCGGCGCTTTTCTTTGAAGTCATTTTTCTTTCTCCGAAGTTAACGAAAACCTTCCAAAGTTGTACTGAACATCTAACACAACAGTGATAAGCAAGTTGCTGATGAGAACAAATGAGTTTTTAAAAAGTCGAATTTTCTCGGTAAACTTCAATTTTCGACCTGTGGATCATTGAAAATTTCATGACTTCAAAACATCATTTGTTCTTATCACGAACATGCTTAGCACTGTCGGGTTGGATAATCTGCACAACTTCGGAGGTTTTTCGTTAACTTCGAAAAAAGAAAAATGACTTCAAAGAAAAGCGCCGGGGATCATCAGGGATCATACAAAAGCTGGAAAATGCGGTTCGTGCAGTTTCTCGCTCCTCTTCAACATGCTCATAGTGAAGGGTAATAGGAATACTTACGGATGTACACAATGAGGAATCCAGGTATCTGGAATTTCGAAATATAAAGCTTTCTTTTAAGCTGCGATCCCCTCCCCGCGGGGATGTTAGTGCATGCGGCCCTTACAATTCTCGAACAAGGTGAAACACCTTTCACCCTGGAGGGGCTGCGACCACTGTGACCCCCTTTATCCTGGAGGAATCATTCTCACCTTATCGCACATATGGTAAGAAGCAAATAAATATAAATATACAAGAATATGTGGAGAATTCGAACATAAAATGACATCGAAAATTGTTCAAGAACTTTTCCCCAACCCTAACTGTAGCACCTTCGCGCGTTGTGTTACATGTCGACGAAATGTCGAAGCGGTCTTTTAATGAGAGAACAATCCCTATAAGCTTACAGTACTCCAACCACAGACTTGCATGACCTGAGAAAAAATGTATATCATTTTGAGATGCACGTGAAGTATCAATTTTACAAACCATAGGATCGGTCTTAGTGAAGAATCGTCCCACATTTACGTGGCATTTCATACGAATACAGCAAGCAGCTACTAAAATATTGAGAAATTCTATTATTCCTCATAATACGCAAAATTCCGCTGCATTATGTTATCTAACACCGTGTATGTCACTGATAATTACGAGCAAGAAAAACTATTTCCAGACTTTACTTAATAGGATCGGAGTTTATTTTTTCAATGCTAATCTCTTTTTAGATACGATAATCCGGGCGCTTCTTCTTTTTCAAGCAAAAAAGGACAGTAAAACCATCCAAACATCGGCAACAGGATCGAAGTACTGTTTTTTTTACAATAATACCGCACAAAATACAATAGACCTCTTTTATCAGATTTCGGTCAGCTATAAGATGCAGGGCACGACCTAATGCTTTAGTTGCGTCTTTCGACTCACGTACTCGCTATGCTTCTCCACTGTGGTTCGTGCTTGAAGTGCGAAAGACGTAAAGGACCAATTAGCATTATTTTCTTGGCCATATGATGATTGCGTACAATTGCAATCTCGAGGCCTATAAGAAAGCATCATTTGTCTATTAACCATTTTCCCATCCACTTATTATAAAAAAGCATGATACTGTGTGAATAGTAACTGCTCAAGATGCACCCGCTGCGTTCTGGGAAACCATCTTACATCAATTAATATTTGATTACGAGGCAATAAGAATATACTTTTGCAGAACATGGGTAAGCTAACTTACTTGATACCCTGGCTCCTGTTAACAGCCGTTGCTGCTGACCCGTAAGTTGAATCAATATTAGTAATTTTCATCAAAATTCGACCATTCAGATATGAGGAGCCTCACACACTGAACAATCGACAAGTGATGGTGCATCTGTTCGAATGGAAATGGAAGGATATAGCAGCTGAATGTGAAAATTTTTAACAACACTACGGATACGGTGCCGTCCAGGTACTGTAGTGTACCGTATCCATAGAAGGGTATCAGTAGATTAGTACATTATGAGAGATTATTATAGGTGTCACCACCCATGGAACATATCACATTGACACAAAATGGTGACATGCCGTGGTGGATCAGGTAAATCTCTTTGTACCAGGTAGCATTTGAGCAAATTTTCTCCGTTATAGATACCAGCCAGTAAGTTACAAGCTGAACTCACGAAGCGGAACTGAGCAAGAGTTTATTGACATGGTCAACAGATGTAACGCAGTTGGCGTGAGGTCTGCAAACAAACCACAAGCAAACTGTTTCACTGACAACCATCAATTTTAGAATCATCGTTGATGCAGTCATAAACCATATGACTGGAGTCTCACAGAAAAAAGGAGTGAATGGGAGAGACAGCAGCGGAGGTTCATATTTCGATGGAACGGACGGGGTCGAAAGCTTCCCTGAAGTAAGTAAGAATTTGTAAGCGTGATTGAGTGACGAGAAAAGGTCTAAATTCAAGAAGTGAGCCTCTCTAAAGAAAGCTTTTGCAACCACCACGACATAGCTAGCTATAGCGGATAGAAAAACGCATTTTTTAGTCGAAAAGCTGCAGGGAACGGATTTCGGCTACATATTTTATTGATTTAGGACTATAATGTCATCGCCATCGGCATTGCTGCATCACCTTTACTGTCTGCTTCACTGAAAACGACCAAACAACCTCTTTTTCTATCATTTCTGCAACGCACACTCATTATAATAAAGAAATGCAAGTTACTCCGACACTTAGCGTTCATGTGAACGTTTTGTACTCCATACTAAAAGCATGCTCGGCTTCTATCTATGATCGGGTTGTCGCAAGAGCACATTCCTTTCTCGCATAAGCTCCGTCATTGTATATATTTTTTTTACCTTCATGAGCAAGGATCAGTGGAGGAATGAAAGAGACACCGCTGATAGTCGCCATGTTTCTACAAGCTTGCCTCCTTTTCGGCCTTTGTTCATGGCCTTGAACCAGAGCAAACGGCCATAGATTGTCGGCAACTGTTGCCGAAGTTGCTGGGGTTGCCGAGGTTGCCGGCGTTGCCGGGGCAGAGACAGCTTTGAAGGCAGTGTCTAAGCCAAATGTCAATTTTGAGATTTTGTGCTTATCTGGGCCTATTCGCCATGCTGAATCCGATAAACCACATTGGAGAGCGCGAAAACGGCGAAAAAGGCCTAATGCCTTGTTTTCGCCGTTTTCGCGCCCTCCAGAGTTGATTTTCGGATTCAGCATGGCGAAGGTCAGATAAGCACAAAATCTTGAAATGACCTCCTGCTTGGATACTGCCTCTGAGCGCGCGGAATATGGAGGCTATCATAAGGTCCAACGATCTTCATCCTCGGCAACGCCAGCAACCTCGGCAACGCCGGCACCCTCGGCAACCGTTGCTGGCAACCTTGGTCGTTCCCAAAGAAGCTTATTACACGCCTTGTGATGGGCGAGATTGCCCTCCGACGTTTGCCCCATTCTCGTTCAAATGGGACGTTTCAACCTCATCTCGTTCAAACGCAGTGAATGACTCTGCAAATCTGCTTTTCTGAACCTTCCGAACCTGCTATTCGAAGCTCGGCTCTAAATGTTAGAATCTATGAATCTGTAAAGTGCAGCAGTTATCGCAAGGGAGACAAGGGAGGTCCTGAAGTGATTTCCTTTCGTAGTTCAACAACATCCTTCCATCTATTTTCACCTTCTCTTAAGCATGTGCTACCGCAGACATAATGAATGACAAAAGTAAGCGCCAAACATACCCGATCATTAGTTCAAGCGTCTATTTCATGGTTCTTAAGAGAGTAGAATGGCAACTGCTCCCATTTTTGCAACAAATGATCATGAACGATGGGAAATTACTTATTGAGGTTTCACAAACATTGAAATTAGTGAAAGCTTTGTTTTGGGATGACCCTAGAATAGCCATATTTCAAAAATTGCTCACTGTATTATAGTTATTGTCCACACAAGACGGTAGCCGTTCATTTTGTGTTAATTATAGATACAGTAGATAGAATTTCTGCCTACATTTGTTTTATTGATTATACATTTTTTCTCGATATGACTTAATGTGTTAGACATTATCATATTTTGATCATCTGGCATGCCCGACTCCAGCCGGCCCTGTCAGTATACTATGATGAAGGTCATTAGTCTCTACTTCTGTACTACATTTCCTTGTTCTTGCCCCACTTCTATATGTCTGTTCCATGCCCCCATTTAGTTTTAGTAATCAGCATGCTTACTTAACCTCTATACCTCTCTGTTCCTCAGGGCAAACTTCTGCAAAAAATCGATGACATTGAAAATGCATTGTCCTTCCATGTAGGTGTTTATTTCATTACTAGTATGCACCCTTACCCCTCCCATGAGCCCCCCCCCCCCTAATTCAAACTCTGAAAAAATCCATAACGTCAAAGCTAATCGATAATCCTGTAAACAAGTTCACAGCATGCTCTTTATCTTCCTGCGCCACTCCCATGGTTGAGTCAGACAGCACGGCGTACGCCGCGTGGCGCAGTAGCCCGACCCATGTCCCTTAGAAACCCACTTCGCCGCGGGACCCATAATTTCACAATTGACAACATATTTCGTACAAAGGGCAAAAAGTTGCCAAAAATCTCACGGTAACATGCTGCCATGCTTAACCAAAAACAACCGACATCGCGAACGAGCAGGCAAGTGCAAGACCTGCGCACTAGGGCATCATATCAACTATAGAAAAACCTGTACTGTAGAAAAACAGTGCACGGAACAGTGAAGATGAACAGATGTATCAAGAAATCGTGAAGGATAAACTTTAGATTTTTTTGCAGGTTCCATACTCGAAAAATGATTTCAATGACTGGAGGTGTCACGGAGACATCAAAGGTAGCGATTACGGAGGAAACGCGCAAGGGGTGAGATTCAACATAAATAAGTATTGTTTTTAAACCGACAATTCTCTGCAGGTACGAAACTGCCGACTAGTCGGATTGCTTGATTTGGACCAAGGAAAAGATTACGTGCGAGGAAAAATTATTGGATACTTCAATCATCTCATCGATCTTGGCGTTGCAGGCTTTAGGTACGAAGAGCAAGCGTAGGAATGAAAGTTCATGTGATACCTTAGGGTTGACGCCTCCAAACACATGTGGCCGGGAGATCTAAAGGCTATCATGGACGGAACAAAGAATTTGAGAGCAGATGTAAGCGTTTGCTTCCACTAGCTAGATTGATTCAGCAACTGTGGTAGTTTAGATATATGGTGCCAACCAACGTCCGTTCTTTGCTCACGAAGTCATCGACAGAGGTGGTGAAGCAGTTAAATGTGCCGAATATACAGAACTTGGCCGGTACTCACATACGATATACTTTACTTTTTACACGGACTTCTTTGCAGTTACATCAACTTCAACTATGGTCCCGTAATTTCGCAAGCAGCAAGTGGAGGAGGCAAAGGTTGGGGGTAAGTAAGCCTGGAAACATTTTTTTTCAGAGATTATCAAAGTATTACAGCGATCTGAAGTGGTTCGGGAAAGGTTATGGTTACGGAAATTTGGACAGTAAAGACGTGTTGGTCTTCATTGACAATCATGACAATCAAAGAACAGGAGGTGTGGTGAGTGGAAAACCGCGAAATGTCTCGAAATGGAAACCGCGAAATGAAAATGCGGTGCTGAGATAAACGTCGGGGGTAAAAGTCCAAAGTGTAGCAAAATTTTTGCAAAATAAGCGGAAGGGATATCCGTTTGTCAGGTTTATATTTTCATGAATTCAAATTACTATTTCGGCGCTGCAAGTCATATAGCGAGCGAAACATGTTGTGAATATATAGTTCAACATTGAGATGTTGTAAAACAGTCATTATTTATAAATATGAAATGAAGCATAACAAATATATGTATTAGGCCGCTGCATAAGTTTTGTCCAATTTTTAGCTTTTGTTCAGAGCAGCTATTTTAGAAGATTTTTGGGACGCAGGGATATTTTTATCATCAAAAAAGCGCATTACTTTCTCTTTTCGAGACATTCCAGTCCAGGGCTCGGCACGAGCTGGCACCAGGGAAATTTCAAAACGAAGTCCCGTTTGATATTGAAAATTTCGTACGAAGTCCCTTTTGACCTGTTTTGGAAACCCGTCATCATTTTTATATTATGTAGAAAAATGTAGTAGTGTTTCATGCATTTCTGATTTCATGAAAGAACTTTTCACAGCTTTCTGAGCTTTTTAAGTGGTCGAATCACATCTTGAGAAGCAGAAAAAGCCGATTTTTCGACGGCGGAGCGGACCGAGTGGTTTTCAAATTGCTATAAAACGCTGAAAAGAGAACATTATGAAACTGTTTGTTCTACGTATGTAATCTTTTACAGTGTAGATACATTTTATGTAAAAAAGTATGAAAACTTATGTGAGCAAAGTGTCGGTGCCAGCTCAGCTGGCACCCAGCTGGCACGGTGCCAGCTAATTCAGAAAAAAGTTGGGCACAGCTTTCATTCACATAAGTTTTCATAGATTTTTGGCCCGTAGTTCCGGTCCACCAACGCGCATGCACACACCAAATTTGGTGTCATACTATTGCGTTTTGGCTGAAAACAACGCCTTTGTTTGTTGATGGACAGCTTGCCAATGGCATGCCGGTGGCATGCCGGCGGCATTTTTGCGGCCGTTCTCCGTCTCGGCCCCTGTAGAAACGATATCCCCTTTGCTTTCCGCGCTGAAAACGATACCCAGCTTGACCCGGTGCAAGCTGTGCTGAGCCCTGTTCCAGTCTAGCAGAATTGCAGGCCAAAGAGAGCAGGTGACTAGAATATCTTCTTTACTGAAAAACATATTGTCAGGAAATTTCCACAATGCTTCCGCTAAGTCAGGTTCTTTTGTTGGTCAGCGAATAAATAGTTCATGAGATAATGTATGCACTAATCTAACTTTATTCAAAAGTTTTGCTTGTAGAACCTGTTATCGCAAGTTAGTGCTTCATACAGATGTTCTACAGTCAATAACATTCTGTGGATAAATTGTCGATGAGTCGAAAGCTGTAGGTGAAAGATTAAAGCAGTAGCCTATACACCAGTAACTCTTCAGAGCTTGCGGCATTTTAAGAATTTTAGAGTTTAAAAACGTCATGATTGTGTGCATGAAGGCGAGGCAAAAAACGGATTTTTTCATGCTCAAATAAATCTCTAGATCTCAAAATTGTACGGCTTCTTTTTTGGTCATAATATAGTCTTCAAAGTATTCGCTATCCATTGCTGGCTACTAAATAAGGAATGCCAGTTTTTAGAGCAGCACCATTTAAAGGTCTAGAGAAAACATTGCAAAGTTTTTGCGATCTTAGTTCTCCTACAGTAACCTTTTTTCGGCAAACAAATTATATGATATCAAAAGGTGCTTGATTTAGAGAAGTTGAATTTATCGAAAAATTTTTATTTGGAAAAAAGCTGTAATATTTTAAACTTGAAATTGCAAAGGAACAGAACTTATGCAGCAGCCATTTAAGTCATTATAAACGCCGCATAATAATTCCCTTATCACTTCTTTTTCTTACTTCCTTAACATATTCACGACAACACGATCCACCGGTGGGTCGTACGTGTTCTGCCGTTTCGGACAATACTACCCACTGGTAAGATTCCTGAATCTCTAGCTTTGACAGTTAATGATGGAATTTTGTGGGGTTTGTCACATGATTGGGGACACCTTGGCAAAGCTCCAGCCAGAGTGGACCGGGTTCGGTATATGTAATGTAGTGTTACGGTAGGTATACCGTAGATAGAGATAAGGCGCAGGCTTTAGCCCCAATTTTTCGTAGAATGGTGCTTTTTTGAAAATATAAGTTACGGGAGGGGGGGGGGGGGGAAATACGGGGAGGGCACGAGATGATGTTAGCCCATCAAAAATCATCGATTTTATCGATTATTTGTTTTTTTGCTCGTTATTCCATCAACCTTGAACATGCATAGGTTTTGTAGCATGCTGATTACGAAAATGATAGTCTCAAGTTCTAATACCGCCTTCTCACATCAGTTTTTTAATTCTTACGAAAGTTCTACCGTGCTGTTATCGTAGTCCCGCTGTGGGAAAGTAGTGAGCAAAGTAAACACTACAATCGTAATCAGCACCTGAAATAACCCCAAAACACAATTATTCATGAAAATCCATGATGTTGGGTTTGTACAGAATGACTATCGTAACCTTACCGTTCATGCCAAGACTGAAATAAGTCCTACTTAGATAATCAGCGCCTTCGATAACCCTTGTGGGGAATATCTCGGAGACATGTTTTAATTTTTTTTTCCAAAAAGACTACCATTTCGGACAATACGACCCAGACGGATGGGTCGTAAGTTTGACAAAGCGAAAAAGGCTCTAGTGCGAAACGGCAGTATTCGAAAATCGGCCTTGTCGTAAATGTACTAAATGTACTAATGCTCCTTTTAGCTAACCTACAAAAATGGTGATCAATATGCAATGGCAGTGGCGTTCATGCTAGCTTGGCCTTATGGCTATCCAAGGGTGATGAGCAGCTACTACTTCGGCTACAGCGACCAAGGACCTCCAAGTGCAGGTCCAGGAGGTGGATATGCTGTAAGATTTCCTTCTAGTAAATATAACAACTTTCGCATAAAAGCTGTAATTGTAGACGAAATCACCATACTTCAAGCAGGATGAAACTTGCGAACCTAATTCTGGCTTCGTTTGTGAACACCGATGGCCAGCAATCAGGTTGAGTAATTTTTACTTGAAAGGACGGTAGACGATAATGGCTCCAAGGAAATATGAAGAAAGAAATTCTGCGCAATTTATTTGGTTGAAGAAAGCAAAAGCAGGAAAAGAATAGATGACAATACTGCTAAAATCAATTTCAGAGGAATGGCAAAATGGCGATCGATGGTTGAAGGTAGTGGCACGGAAAATGTACGTTTCTTATGCTTTGCGCTTTTCAAGTTGACTTGTACGGAAAAATACCGTAAATTACTGCGAATTTGATAATGCACATGGACAACCCTTCTCTCTTCACTTTCAAAGCCGAATCTTGCGTATTTCATCGCACCTACGGACTGGACGTCGTTGCGTCTGACCAAGATAGTTCGTGCATGAGAGAGGCAACAGACGCCAAGAGGGCTGAGAGAGCGCTCAATGCGCAAGACGCCGACAGCGTCCGTAGTGGTGCTCGGTCTTTGCATGCGATGAACTAAATGTACAATATCTGCCTACTTGTGCACAATGATATTTTCGTCCGGTCTCTTGAATTCCAAATTCGATAACCGAATTATATATTGCTTACACACAATTTCGCTTTACATCCACAGGTAGTAGACGAGTGGAACCGACTCGCTTTTTCTCGCGGTGGTAAAGGATTCTTTGCCATTAACGGAAGGGGTGATCGCTGGAACACGTACGTGTCTCTATTCTTTGCCTAGGCTGCGTCCAAAGTTGCCCGTGCCAGCGCCGTGCCAGCGCCATGCCAGCATATCCTGACGCTGTATTGGCGCCGTGACAAAATGTCGATCTATCAACACTGGGCAGTTTTACTTTAGCCAACAATGACACGGCCCTAGCGCGGCCCTGACACGGCACTTGCACGGCGCTAGAACGTCGCATTTCGCGGGCGCACCTGCAACTTTAGACGTCCTTGCTAGAGCCGCTCATATTGAATGACTTCAGAAACTTCCAAACTTCTCTACCACAAGGCCAGTACTGCGATGTATGGAGCGGTTATCTAAAAGACGGAAGATGCACTGGAAAGACTATTAATGTTGGCAGTGATGGTAAGTTTGTGGTGTTTGTGACCTTTCTTTATTTAATCTTCAGCTAAGCGATAATTTGGTTTAGGTCGTGCTCAAATCGAAGTTGACAAAATTGTGGCTATCTCGCTAGCTTCGAAAATTGGTAGGTCACTACAAAAAGAGCTGGTTGAACATTCACCATTTATGAGTTCTAAGGATACAACCCGGATCCACCACCACAACCAACCCAAGGTCCAGGCCCACAGCCTCAGCCTACACAAGGTCCAGGTCCACAGCCACCATCACCAATCCACTATGATGATCCGTAAGTACTAAGCGATTTTCAGCGTTTACACTCAAGTGAGATTACTTGTTAAGATATGATGATCCCAATACCGTTTTCGATCGACAAGTGATGGTACACTTGTTCGAATGGAAATGGAAGGATGTAGCAGCGGAATGCGAAAACTTTTTGCAACATCACGGATACGGTGCCGTCCAGGTACTGTAGTGCACCGTATCCATAAAAGGAGATCAGTAAACTAGTACATTATGAGGGATGTTGCAGGTATCACCACCTATGGAACATATCACACTGACACAAAATGGTGACATGCCATGGTGGATCAGGTAATCAATTTGTACCAGGCGGCATTTAAGCAGATTTTCCTAGTTGTAGATATCAGCCAGTAAGTTACAAGCTGAACTCACGTAGTGGAACTGAACAAGAGTTTGTGGACATGGTCAACAGATGTAATGCAGTGGGCGTGAGGTTTGCAAATAGATTACGGTAGCTACGCATTGTTTTACGAGCAAACACACGCTTCAGAATCATTGTCGACACTGTCATTAATCATATGACTGGAGTTGATCAAAAGAAAGGAGTGAATGGCCGAGACAGCAGCGGAGGTTCATTCTTCGATGGGATGAACGGAGTAGAAAGCTTCCCAGAAGTAAGCCAATGTATTGGTAGGGATAGATTTTGAGCGCATGAGCGCGCCGACTTTCTAATAACTTTTCTTGAAAGTGAAGTTACTAAAACTGCAAACTCACAATTTTCATCACATTTACAAGGTCCACACAATCATCATCTAAAAGCCTGGAAGAGATTCTATTAAAGGAAGAGCCTTGGGGAAACTGTGAGCGGAGCTTTCCGCACCTTCACAGTCTTCTGGATCCGCTGAATCCGAAACTATGCTTGAAAAGTTAAAAAAGTGTTTTTTCGGCATTTTCCGAGCTTGGAGTTGCTGAGCAGGCAGGGCGAAGAATTCCCATCGAAACAGCGACTGGCTACAAGATACTGTAACTTCGCCCACTTTGGCGACAATTGGCTGATCGGCTCAGGCAGCCAATCTCCGCATTTGGCGATTCGCTCGCCCATCCCCTCCAGCAACCTCCAGGACCCAAAAAGGCCATGAAAAACACTCTTTCGACTTTTCAAGTACAGCCCTGAATCCAGCGCAGGATCCAGAAGGCCAAGAAGGAACGGAAAGCTCTTAATTACAATGTTCCCGCGCCAATGCCTCTGAAGTCCTGCCACATTTTTGCTGTGCGTTTATGCACTTATCTTTAAACTGAAAACATCGAGCATCAGCCGGAAAAAGAAAAATGAGTAACTGGTAGGGATTTTGAAAAGTGCAAAAAAAATCAAAATTATAAGAGAAACAGCAAGATATGGTAAGCTGGTAAAAGCAATAACAAATGGTAGTATAAATTGTAGCATAAAACCTTGTGACATGTGATGTGAATCTATTCAAATACGCCTGTAATCTGCTAATTCGCAATATCATTCAGCAGCTAATCTCACCGTTTTTGACATTTATACTCACAAGTATCATTTGATTCAATTGGCTTGGCTTCGGGAAGGCGGGGCTTCGTGACCCAATTTAAGGCTAGCTAGTGCTCAGAGAGCACTGCGCGAGAGAGACGCAGGTGCGTTGCGGGCGCGAGCGGCCTTAATTAGGTCACAAAGCCCGCCTTCTCGAAGCTAAGCCTGTTCCGCACTCAACAGTTTGTAGGGGTCATTCTAATATATGCGAGTGAATCGGAACGTATGGTTTCCTTCCTTGAAGGAGAAAATGTCTATATTTTCCTCTAAAAAAATTTGCTCCGGTATCAAAGTAATGAAGAGTAGTTTTTTGTCATGATCATACATGAAAAATCCTTTTTTTTGTTTCCGACCTTTTCAATAATTTATAGATTGGCTTCATACTGCAACTATCCCCAACATCAGCACCGATGCTAACGGAACAAAAGCTTTGAATAATTAAAGAAAAATAAAAAATCCTTGGTGTCGAAAAAATGACGAAAAGGGAAGGGAGGAGAGAGGAAGTATAGCAAGACTTTCTGTACCGTTTTAAATGTTCTATTGTCATGAAACGTGGGCACTGTCTTGAATTCAAGAACTTTGTGATTATGAAGTTGTATGATAAGTTTACGAATATAGTAAGACCTACGTGGCAAACTGATATCACGCTAGATGATTTCACTTTTTCGAGGCATTTTTACGTTATTCTTATCAATTTTATCGATTTTTTGCAAAGTCTGAGCTACGAGGCTGAGAGTTGGCACAGGGCAATTGAGCATGCTGATTTTACAATAATAGTTTTTGGAATTATCCATTACTTTTATTGATTTTATCTATTTTTTGCAAAATTCGAGTTACAGGGCTAGGAGTTGGCACGGGGAGGGGGGTAAGCATGCTGATTACGAAAACAGAAAGGGGATGTGTAATTGTCGTGTAGAAGTGGGTACAGGGAAAGGTTGTACAGGATTGGGGATGGTGACCCTGAATATGGTAAATTGAAAAGTTTGGGCGGAGCCGGAGCCAGCTAGTTTTAAATAAGAAGATAACTATGCGGAATGTTAGAAAAACAACAAAAAAGTGCGAAATCTATGGGTTCTGTTATTATGCAAAACGTTCCAGGTCCCATACTCCAAGAATGATTTCAATGACTGGAGATGCGCCGGAAACATACAAGGTGGTGATTATGGGAACAACGCAGCAGGGGTAAGATTCTATTGATATAGTAAACCTACACAGATCACTTATCCATGCAGGTGAGAAACTGCCGACTTGTGGGGCTGCTTGATTTGGACCAGGGAAAAGATTATGTACGAGGAAAGATCATTGGATATCTCAACCATCTCATCGATATTGGTGTCGCTGGTTTCAGGTACAGAATTTTGCGTGCTTGGAGAAAAATAATGACTTCTATTTGTGAAAATCTTCAGGGTTGACGCTTCCAAACACATGTGGCCAGGTGATCTAAAGGCCATTATGGATGGAACCAAGAACTTGAGAGCAGATGTAAGCGTTTTGTTACTTTTAGCTTGACTGATTTTACTAGCGATACTGTAGATATACGGTGCCAACAAGCGTCCATTCTTCGCGCACGAAGTCATCGACAGAGGAGGTGAAGCAGTCAAATGTGCCGAATACACTGGAATTGGACGGTATCGAAATAAAATACATATACTTCCCCTTTAACAATAATCAATTTGCAGTTATATCAATTTCAACTATGGTCCTGTAATTTCACAAGCTGCACGAGGAGGCAAAGATTGGGGGTAAGCAAGAATCATTTTTTCGTAAGACGGACGATGACAATACAGTCGGTTTCATCCCAGATCAGGTGGAACATTTTTCGAGGAGCGGTGCGTGCGCATCGCTGAAGGCTTTCCGAGCGCCTAGCGCTGGCATTTTGCCAAACAAAGACTGGGGAGAATGAAGAGACGCAACTTGGTTTCTCAGCACGATATGATATACTGTTTTGCGGAATGGCGCAATTTCCGCCTAAGCGGGTAGAAATTACTGTACTCAATAGTCACCTTCTGTAACTCGTCTCAACTCTTCGCAAATGCGGCAAAACTCCCCTTCTCCCTTCTGTATCGGTCCTGCGTGGAAATGCCCTAGCGTCGTCGCTACAATCGTGTGCAAATCGGTACCTTTTTTGCCAAAGAACAACATTACCGTTTTACAGCGACCTGAAATGGTTCGGAAAAGGTTACGGTTATGGTAACTTGGACAGCCATGATGTGTTGGTATTCATCGACAACCATGACAACCAAAGAGGAGGAGATGTGGTAAGTAGAAAGAGCATTCAATGCCAGGGAGAAGGGGGTCCTTAGCAGGAAATGCGAAATTCATTGCGATTGACCCTCGCGCTCTCGCCACTCCCTTTTTCGTCTACACTATGAATATGAATTGTGTAAGACTGTACTTTTAGCTAACCTACAAAAATGGCGAACAATATTCGATGGCCGTTGCGTTCATGCTTGCTTGGCCCTATGGCTACCCGAGAGTAATGAGCAGCTTCTACTTCAACCACAACGACCAAGGACCACCAAGTGCAGGCCCAGGAGGCGGATATGCTGTGAGAGATTCTTTTCAAGATTTCGAACTACTTTGGGATGAAAATTCTGTTTGTAGACCAAATCACCATCGTTCAAGCAAGATGACACTTGCGAGCCTGGTTCTGGTTTTGTTTGCGAACACCGATGGATACCTATCAGGTTGGGTTATTGATTTCATAATTCGTTATTAAGAATTAGATCACGGGAGATTGTTGATAGCTTCTCGACCATGATTGAAGAATCTTCGTTTTTAAAAAAAATTTTGGCATTAGTGAAAACGAAGTTAAAGGCCTTAAACCACTAAACAGCTAATATATTATATTAGGTTGGACCGAAAGTTCGTTCGCACCATATTCAAAAAATCATAACTTCTTTCCGTCACTACGATTTTGCGCAACTTAAATTTTATTAGAAAGCGTTAAGCATGGAGTTTCCAACGGTTCCTTGGCGACTTTCCAGCATGTTCAGATTGCAGAGATAAAAATGAAAGAACGAAAAGATCCGAAATTCGGAATTTTTGAGAAACAATTCCAAAAATCTGGAAACTGCGCGATAAAATCCAAAAAAGCCATTATCCTAATTTTTCTTATATTTGATTACTAACTGAGTTAAGTTTGTGCTGATCGAGCTCTTTTTTTAAAAGTTATGATTTTTTGAAAAAAAATTCCGAAAAATCACTTTCCTAAGAATTCCTAAGAAATTGATTTTTCGGCATTTTTTTCAAAAAATCATAACTTTTGAAAGAAGAGCTCGATCAGCACAAACTTAACTCAGTTAGTAATCAAATATAAGAAAAATTAGGATAATGGCTTTTTTGGATTTTATCGCGCAGTTTCCAGATTTTTGGAATTGTTTCTCAAAAATTCCGAATTTCGGATCTTTTCGTTCTTTCATTTTTATCTCTGCAATCTGAACATGCTGGAAAGTTGCCAAGGAACCGTTGGAAACTCCATGCTTAACGCTTTCTAATAAAGTTTGAAATGCGCAAAATCGCCGTGACGGAAAGAAGTTATGATTTTTTGAAAATGGTGCGAACGAACTTTCGGTTCAACCTAATACTTTAGTTGATTTCCTTTCATATTTTAGAGGAATGGCGAAATGGCGATCAATGGTCGAGGGTACCGAGACGGCTAATGTAAGTTTCCGCTTTGCACTTCATATAATAGAAATATGATTGAGACAAACTGCAAATTGCACAGCCAGCAGGCAATGCAGCCTAGCTCTGAATAACTTCAAGGATTCAAAATACTAAACCTTTCCCCACTCATTATCGAACAAAAATCTAAACCTGATAGGAAATATAAAAAAAGCAAATAATGTAAATCGTTGTGAGCTAACGAACCACCAGATCATCTAAGAAATAATTAATCAGAAAATTGTTTCAGAAAAAGGACTACAGCCTTTTTAGAAGAATTTGAATTTTAAATGCTAGAAACTCATGAAAGGAATTTTGTTTAAAGAAAGGCGAGAAAAAAGCTGTTTTTTATGGCTGCTAGTAAAAATGAAGTGGATCTGCGTCGGTTGAGCAAATTCCAGCAACTAACTTTACAAGATCAAAAGACGAGAACTTCCAGAATTATCACGACATCACTCGTTTTTGAAAAAGAAAAATAGTAAATCAATTCGGTAATTACTGGCACTATACTAAAAATTAAATAGGGCCTTTAGGGTAGTCAGCAAGTAAATATTTACCCGTTCTCGTGAGGATTTATTATTGTTCCTTTTTCGTTTACAGGTGGTCGCAGAATGGAACCGACTCGCCTTCTCTCGCGGAGGCAAAGGTTTCTTCGCCATCAACGGAAAGGGTGATCGCTGGAACACGTACGTGTCTTTATTCTTTGCCTAGGCGGGTGCGGGAACTTACCTACCCGAAAGACTTGCCGCAGCGTACCTTAGGTATCATGAGCAGTCAGATATGCAATAAGCATAGTGTACAGAGCCTAGTCTATGTGTATTCTAAGCTCCGCCCCCATCATTCGACTCTTTCGCCATGCATCCACCAGTGATGAAACCGAGAATTCAATAGGATTACAAAATTGATGTTCAGCAACTATCTGCTCGATTTTGATCAAAAATACGGATTCAGGGGTTTTCTGAGGCGCTCATTTCAAATATGCTATTGGTTTTGCACTGTCTTTCCTTACATGAGCCAAAATTTTGCTTTGGTGAATTGACTTTTAGCTTAAGGAATCTCGGCAAAAAAACAAAGCACCCTTAGGACGCATGTAAAACTGCTTCACTATTTCTCTCGGAACGTTAGAAGAATGCTTTGCCTTATCCTTCTGATTGAAACCATCTTTTTTTCTTTCCATTAGCTCCATTTTGAACCTCGCAACCCTCTCTAAGCACATTCTGGGCTGAGCCAGCCTCGATGTCCTCAGGTATTGCCAGGTTTTCTGCATGTCTTGGTTCTATGCCAAAAAGGTGCAATGTGTGGGCGGGGCTTAGCTTAGCGCTATATCCTAAGGAGCATCTGGAATCAGCGAGCTCGCTATGCCATTATACCCCACAGATACACACCCATGAGGTGCGAGAAAATCTCGGGTAGGAAGTTCCGTTCCCCTGCCTAGGCTGCGTCCAAAGTTACCCGTGCCAGCGCCGTGCCAGCGCCGTGCCAGCGCCATGCCAGCGTATCCTGACGCCGTATTAGCACCGCAACAGAATGTCAAAGTATTAGTAGGGCAATTTCACTCTAGCACAGCGATGTCACGGCCCTACCACGACCCTGACATGGCTCGAGCATGGCGCTGGAACGATCTGCACATCGCAGGCGCACCTGCAACTCTAGACATCCTTGCTGAGCAACTTCCTCATAGTGAGTGACTTCAGGAACTTCCAAACTTCTCTACCTCAAGGCCAGTACTGCGATGTATGGAGCGGTTATCTAAAAGACGGAAAATGCACTGGAAAGACTATCAGTGTTGGCGGTGATGGTAAGGCAATTTTTGGGGTCCTCATTAGCATGGTCATAGTTTACCAATTTTAGGTCGTGCCCAGGTCGAAGTTGACAAAATTGTGGCTATTTCGCTAGCATCGAAGATTGGTGGGTCCTTACTAGAAAATCAAGTAAACTCTTACCAATCAACGATTTTGTAGGCTATGAACCGGATCCACCAAAGCCAAAACCAACCGAGGCTCCACAGCCTAAACCAACTGAGGCACCGCAACCTAAACCACCAACTCAGGGTCCACAACCTCAGCCAACCTTCCCACCAGTTCATTACGATGACCCGTAAGTACATGAACATTTATGAAAATATAACAAAATGATTTCTAATCTTTTCAAGATATGATGATCCAAATACCTGGCTGAACCGAGAAGTAATGGTGCACTTGTTCGAATGGAAATGGAAGGATATCGCTGCAGAATGTGAAAACTTCTTACAGTACTTCGGATATGGAGCTGTACAGGTAAATATTGGGCTGTGCAGTGAAATAATTTTTCCAAAAAAGGATAGTTTATAAAGCTGTGTATCACAGGTCTCTCCACCTATGGAGCACATAACATTGATTCAAAATAATGATATGCCGTGGTGGGTCAGGTAGGTTTTCATACTGTTGACACTTTATATTTTGGGAATCTTCTATTTTTTGTGCAGATACCAGCCAGTCAGTTACAAATTGGTCTCGCGTAGTGGTAACGAGGAAGAATTCAAAGACATGGTTGACCGATGTAACAAAGTTGGAGTGAGGTAAACATGTCGTTTCACGTGTGTTTAGTTACCCAAATCACCGATTTCGTCACTCTTAGAATCGTTGTTGATGCTGTCATCAACCATATGACCGGAGTTGCACAGAAAAAAGGAGTCGCTACCAGAGACAGCAGCGGCGGTTCATTCTTTGATGGAACGGATGGCGTAGAAAGCTTCCCAGAGGTAAGGAGGCGTGAGATGAGGGATGTAGACCCTTTTGGACCGCTCGCGCGCGACACCCATTTCGCCGCTGAGAAAGTGGGCGAGTTGCATCAAACAGCCAACGGAAAGGCATCATACGTTAAAGAAGACAAAGACAAAGTATCTGTATCTAATATATGAAAAATCGTTAGCTCAGTCCAAATATCTGCCAATAGCGGGAAACTGCAGCGGGTCCCGAACCTAACGCTCTTCCAAATAGCATCTTTAGACACTGGTTCACTAGTAAACACCTACTATCATTTTGAACACGATAAATGTAAAAAAGTGAACGTGCATGCTTGCGAGCAACCCGTTCGTTTCTCCTGTTTGCTCCGCCCTGCGCGAAGCCTGACCAATCGCAGCGAGATGTTTACCAATCAGAGGTGCCGCTATGGCGATCGGTTCAAGCCGTTTTACGGGGTCGAGTTGTACAGATACGATATCTTTTAACTGTATAAAAGTATATAGAAAACTTCACGGAAGGAAAAAACAACAAAATCCTAAATTAGTTTCGTGAAAATCTGAAAACAGGATTTACCCATTCTATGCAGCAATGTTTCAGGTCCCCTACTCTCAGCAAGACTTTAACGATTACAGATGCAAAGGAAACATTGGATCTGGGGATTATGGTAGCAATCCAGCAGGAGTGAGTTTCATCTAAAAACTTGGGAAGGGAGGGGAGGAAATGGAGCTTAGAAAAACTGAAAGGCAAAATGACCCATTTAGGTAAGGAACTGTCGACTCGTTGGATTACTTGACTTGGATCAAAGTAAGACATATGTACAAGGCAAGATCATTGGGTATCTGAACCATCTCATTGACCTTGGTGTGGCTGGATTCAGGTTAGTTGATTGAACTTGAAAAATATCTGCTCTTAACTGAATTCATAATTGTATTTTAGAGTTGACGCTTCGAAACACATGTGGCCAGCAGATTTGAAGGCTATTATGGAAGGAACCAAGAACTTGAGAGAAGATGTGGGTTACCGTAACGGCTGGGATACGGTAACAGCACAATACAAATATTTCAGATCTATGGCGCTAATAAGCGGCCATTCTTTGCCCACGAAGTCATCGACAGAGGTGGTGAAGCAATCAAGGTGTCAGAATACCAGCACATTGGAAGGTAAGTATTACGGTATGATTGCGGTATAATCCCATTTTGCAATAATCCAAGCGTTATTTCAGATACATCAACTTCAACTATGGCCCAATAGTTTCGCAAGCAGCAAGAGGACATCGCAACTGGGAGTAAGCTTTAATTTATCGCCTCAAAATGACCACTAATGTTAAGAAAACAATTTTTAGTGAGCTGACAAAGATTGGACCTGGGTACGGTTACGGTAATGCAGAAGGACACGATGTTTTGGTATTTGTTGATAACCATGATAACCAGAGAAGTGGAGACGTGGTAAGTGAGATTAAACAAGCTAAAGGGACGCAGAAGACAATGGAGCCATAAAACTGAAAGAAAACTGACTTATGCTTATTTTATAGCTAACCTACAAAAACGGTGATCAATACAAAATGGCAGTTGCATTTATGCTGGGTTGGCAGTATGGCTACCCAAGAGTCATGAGCAGCTATGCCTTCAACCACAATGACCAGGGACCTCCAAGTGAAGGCCCTGGAAACGGCTTCAAGGTAAGGACGTGAGCGATACGCAAGATACCACAAAATTGTATAATTGCAGACAAAGTCGCCGACATTTAATGCTGATCTAACTTGCGCTTCGTCTTCCGGCTTTGTTTGCGAGCACCGATGGCCACAAGTCAGGTAGAAAGCTGTTTTTTAAATTCTATTCAGAAGAAATGAAAATGGGATTGTAGTGCTCTAGTAATACTCTCGCCCTCTTAATTGCCGCCCGCGTGGCTTTTGCGCCGCGTCTGCGGCGCGTGTCGTATATGTATGCGCATTTTCTCACGCCTAAGCGACGATTGATAATTCGAGGGGTGAAGCGCATAATCATATGACATATATCATTGCATCTCTGTATGAAGGATAGAGCCGAAAGCGAGCTCTCAAAGCTTATAGAAGATTTGAAACTCTCACTGTAGCGGTTCAAGAAAAATTTTAACAAAAATAAATGGTTTTTTTAGGGGAATGGCACTATGGCGATCTACAGTCTACGGCACAAAACCATCAGAGGTAACAAATGCTTTTTGATAAAAAAAAAGATCATTTATGCAAATACTTGTTTTTAGATGGTCCAAGAGTACAAGAAATTAGCATTTGCCCACCAAGGAAAGGGCTTCTTTGCTATAAATGGAGAAGGTACTTGGAGCAGGTTAGATCAATGGAGAAAGTTTTGCGTATAAATAAAAATATGCGTTCTAGATCCTTCCAAACCACTCTACCATCAGGACAGTATTGTGATGTATGGACTGGATATGTGCAAGACGGAAAATGTACAGGAAAGACAATCACAGTTGGAAGTGATGGTATGCGTTAGGAAGAAATCAAACTTAGCGCACGTAAAATTCATTACTTCAGGAAAAGCACAGATTGAAGTCACTGGTATCGTTGCAATTTCACTTGCTTCAAAGATTGGTGAGAGAAGTATTTTTGCGAAATTCCTTAGCGGGTTCTGATTCAAGGTGAAGTTTTAGGATCCTCACCGGGTCCAGATCCGCCGAAGCCCCCAACCCAGGCTCCTGGTCCACAGCCAACACCTGACCCTCGTGGTTTCACAAAAACTGTAATTTTATTGAAGAGAGACACTGCTATGGGACAATATGTATTCATCCGTGGTGGTACCAGCCATATGAACAATAATGGTGAAAATTGCCTCGACGTAAAAATGCTCGAATGCGACTATGTAACAATTCAGTATGCACACCTGGTCCATATCAGCAGGCGAACGATAAATGTGCCATTCCAATCAAGCACAACACTCAAGTGCCAAGCAACTTCCTAGAATATCAGGCCTGGAGCCAAGGCGACACTTATCTAGATTTTGAGGGACCTGAGAATGGCCAACGTAAAAACCGTAAAGTTCAGTAAATCTTGCTTTCTCAACACATTGGTTCAGAATTATTCAATGGTAAAGCAGCATCCGGCACTCCTCTAGCATATTCAAGCAATAATCCAGGAGACAAGGAATATCAACCGTATAACAAGTATGGTAGAGGTTACTGGATTGCAGAGCTGATGATGGATTGCTCGAAGACCGAAAATGGATGGTTCGAGCTGAAAGTAAGCGGTAGTCACCCAAACCAATTGTCAACCGATGTCTATTCTTTTAGGGATTCTTGACCCCGAACAATCAGTGGGAGACTGATATCCACCAGGGCAGCTGCGGTGGTACCGTTGGAGGCGCAGCACCATTCCAGAGCATCAACCATATTGCAAAATGTGGAGCTGTTAACGTTTTCACTTGGGGTAATAGTGCATGTATCATTGATCAAGTTTGAAACTCGTGTAGTAGAATAAAGATTTGCAGCAATTATTTCCTTAGTTGCATTGATGGATATTTTTGGGAGGCGAGGGGGGGGGGTCTCTAGCGCCTTTCCTCGCACCATAAGCAGCACCACCACTCACACCCTGGAGGGTTCCAGCACCTCCGCACCTCAGAGCAATCCGCATGATTATTGAAATTCAGTATTTATGATTGAAGAGTTAGCATCGAGTTCTATATGCGCAGTCAATTTGCAAGATAGTCTAGAAGAATTCGTAAACGAGTTTTAAAAGTTGCTGAATTTGACAAACTTCTCTGTTAGGTTTGCTATCGGTCAAAAATAGCATAACTTCTGTTTATTTTCAATACAATTCAACTTCACAAACTTTTCTTATCTGGAGGCATAAGTAAAACATAATTCTAAATATTGGAAATTGACTGCCGTCATTCATTGTTTCAAATTTGAATTGACCAGAAAATTTTTCAACCTTCAATTGCAGTTCTAATCCCCCTAATTACAATGGGGGCCCTCTTACTGTGCCTGTACAACTTGGAGCGCACTCAGAGAGAAGAGAGATGAACTGAGCCGCCTTTTGGCTTATAAGAGGTGATGTCCGTTTGAGGGTGCTGGAGGTTCTAAGCATCCTTTCTAGAAAAGGCGGCTAGGTTTTGGGAATTCCTACTGCACCGCCTGTGCAGCTGGTGCTCAGACAATCATTGCGACTACCCGTGGAAGGGTGCCGGCCGACGTTTCCCCCATGCCGTGAGTGGTGGAATAAACACGTCAAACCGAAGTTTATACGCGGATGCGCCGATAAGTGCCGGAACTACGCTTGCGGAATCACCATAAATGCGCATTCTGCGTCCGCGAGTTGTCAGCGGATGCACCAGCTAAACGCGAAAATATTTTTGTAAAATTTTTTGAATTCGTGTTTTCATTCTTTTAATCCGTTTGGTTTTGTCGTGATGTGGACGACAACCGGTCTGGTTCAGTAGCTCAACTAGTAGGCTTAGGATAACAAGAGCTACAGTCGCTTCATTTCATATGATCATGTGTGTCATTGCACACACAGTTCACCTTTGGCGTCCCCATCCTGGATTCGTGGGAGAAACAAGCCTTCAGGTAAGTGTTTCCAAGGTGTTCTTAGTATTTTCTTTCCTTTTTAGTTACTAGTCACCTCAAATTGATGTAATTGATAACAATCGGTAAGTCTTTTGCGTTTTTGCGATTGCAAATCCAGGATGAGGACGCCAAAAAGGACTGTGTGTGCAATGGCACACATGATCATATGAAATAAAGCGACTGTACAATACCGCTCACATTTTTTTGAAAAATAGACGCGAATGTATGGACATGTATGGACATGTAGCGACATGTCCGTACATGTCCATACATGTCCATACATTCGCGTCTATTTTTCAATGTGAGCGATATTGATACAACCTCTGTAGACTTGTGGATGTTAGCGAAAATTGTGAACTTCAGCTTCTATCAAAGGGCAAATATTTTTCAAAAATATTGGCAAGCTTACGACACGCTCCCTGCTCCAAAGTTATGTGTGCCAAATTTGGTCATCGGTTTAGAAATAGAAATTCCTATTTGTACACATAGATATACACACACATACAAGCATTTCAGCTTTATATATAAGATTATCGAATGCCATAACAACTAAAGATGACAGCTTCTTTAGCACAAGAGAGAGAAGCGAAAATAATAACAATCACATGACAATATTTGAATT